TACAAGTTCAATGGAGACCTGGGGTATATTTCAGTTCAATAATCATAAATTCGCTGCCATTTTTCCCTCCTTAGTTCTTTCATCTCCTGCTTTTTTTCTCTGGCCGCCTCATTTCACAGCCCATAAACACAAACTGAGAGCAGTGGCTATTTTATATTTTCTTGTGAGCCAATCATAATGCTGCTTAACAGCTAAATATCTGACAGAATGATTATGCACCAGCAATTTGTTTTTATTGCACTTAATGAGGCTCATACAAAAAGAATTTGAAAGTATCTGTGAGAAATAAATCATATTTATATAATTATAGCCTTTAGGATCTGATTTTTACCTTCGCCTATAGGTTATGTTTTCACTTATATCTGTTTCTTTATTGGTTGGTTGGTTGGTTTGTTTGTTTGTAAGCAACATTACACAAAAACAATTGAATGGTTTGCGCTCCACTTAGTATCGCTCTAGTTTTGAGCCTCAATTCTCACATGCCCTTATGTAAACTAAGTGAGTGATTGTTTTCATTATTCCTTCTCTCTAAGAACCGAAAAGAGACGGTCTGGTCTGCAGAGGCTTTCCATGACAGTCATAACCAGTTCATCCTGCCGTTATCGCTATTGCCTAGCAGCAGAGAAAGTTTGAATGCCCCTTGGTTTCTTTAACATGTGCACTTCTAGCTGTTCAGTTGAGTTGAAGCGTGTTACTCAAGCATTTGACATCTTGTCGCTACTTCTTTGAAAAACAGTTCACTCAAATGCAATGGGATAGGTTGGGCAGGGGACGGATCCACCGGTTGGAGCCTTCCTTTCTCAGGGATGATTATGTTGGCTGCATTTGAAGGAGCCTTCAGAATGGGAAAGCTTAGTCACACTGCTGTGACGAAATCAGTCTTCAAATGCAGCCTCTGAAGGATGCAGCCCCTAAGTTGAGATGTTGCTAACGTGCATGAGCATGTGAGAACTGTATTAGTTAGACATGAAACAATTCTGAACTGATCCTTTAAAGTTATATTTTCCCTCACATGGTGACAGTGTTGTATAAATGTATATACTCTTCATGGTGAGAGTATATATTAAAAATATATTCATATTTGAACTTGTAGGCCTGCTTTAAAAGTACTGCATGTCCTCATGTGAGAGTTAGAGGAATAGGCCTGTGGGAGAAAGATGGAATAGAGAAAGTGCATGTGTCTGCTACGTTTTGCTGCTTTAATCTCTCTTGCTGTTCTCCACTTTTGCCTGCGGTCAAGTGTGCAGCTGTCATGGTTCCCCGAGAAACAAGGAGACAGACAGAGAGAAGGGGTTGGGGGTTCCCGTTGAGTGACGGATGTGATGGGTCCTCGAGTCTGCGCCGCCGCTGCACACAGCTCAGCTTATGTAAGCAGGAGACGTCAAAAGAGGGATGTAAGGAGGGTGCAGAAGACAACGAGCGGAGACGAAAAAGAAGGGGGATGAGACAAAAAAAAGTGTCAGACAGGCAGCGAGAGAATGCGAGGGAGACAGAGGAAATGGGGAGAGCTGTCATCATAAAGACTCTGACTCATTCCTACTGTTCTGGATATAGCTCTCAGCTGAGAGGCATGTAGCTAATGTATGAAGGCTCAAAAACAATTACATTCCTTCAAACCAGGATTAGGCTCATAATATTTGAGGCAGGGGGGTCAGTGTCCACAAAACTGGACAGAAGGAGACATTTCTTCCAACGCTGCCACCAAATCATGTGTGGTTGCTTTTAATTTGAATAACAAGACAAGTGCAACTATGTTTACTTACGTTCTATAGACTTTAAATAACATTTTTTGCTGAATATGCTCAGATCGTGAAAAAGAGGGTATGATTTTATAATTTGCTGCAGCACTTAAGTGCAGTTCTTAATGTTTAGAGTGTAATTTGATGCTTTGGATGATAAATCAATGTGAAATCCTGCTGTTTACATAGAGGATTTATCAAAAAAAATAAGGACATTTTTATCCTTGAACATCAGACCAGTCAGATATATGATTTATATTCCATCACACTCACTGTGACATTGTGTCTGCTATCTGCAGAGGCAGTTAAGGGCTCTCGCTTGGCATGTTCTTCCCCTGTAAGTGCCTCCAGAAAGGACGGGCTGTGAAAGCTGCAGTCAAATAGCTGTAATTATCTACAATCAGTTGACAACCAGAGACCGACTGAAAGGCTGCTCGCACACAAACAGCGTGGGGGAGCAAGGATAAAATATAAAAGAAAAATGGTGGCAATGCTAGTTTCAAAATCAGGCAGCGAGGCATAAAAGAAGCTTTGCAGATGTGAAGTGGCTATCGTCTCTAGAGTTTTCTGTTTCTGTATCCGACCAAATGTTGTTTTTCTCTCCAAAGTACCCATCTGTTTATCTATACAGCAGCTTCCTGGATGTCCCAAAGTTCTTCTGCACAAAAGACACACACAATAAAAAACATGAAACAGAGAGAGGATATATAAACAAGAATGGCACTCAGTAGAGTGCAAAACTCCACCAAGGCAAAACAGGCCCTTAGATTTAATCCAAATTTCACACTCATAGATATCAGTTGTTGAAAACGCCCTATCACGTCTTGTGACTATTTTTTTTAAAGAGTACTTAGAGGACAGAGGCACTTCAGGGACAAATCAGATTTCTTTGGCCGTTGCCCCCTGGCCCCCACCCCTAGATTTGCCCCTGAATAAATACATTTCATGGTTGTGTGTTTGTCTGAAGCTCTATTCTTGTTGCCATGAATTTTGAATAACAATATGAGTATAAAATCTCCACGCCTTTTTTCATTGCTTTCCAAATCATATAATGTACCTGAATAAATCCTGTCTGAATGTCTGCAAATATCTGGTTGCTGTCTGACACATCATCTGTACTGTGGCAGTGGCAGCTGATCACACACTCTGGTGCAGTTTACAGTCTTTTAACGTTCAATTTTGAAGCTTCTGTAATGAAAAGTCAAGTGAAAAGAGTCAATCGCTCAGCCCCCCCGAACCTCCCCAGAGACTCCACTATATGAGTTCTCCATCAAATTGCATGATTTTCATCTGCAGATGGAGTTTGCCGAGTTTGTCATTGAACTGTGTAGCGAAAGAATACAATACTGCGGCAAAGAGGAAAACTGCATGTACTCATAAAGAATATGTAATACGATGGAAAACTCCAGAACAGCTACTAAAAGGACCTTGTGGTAAAACGATATATTTTTTTATTAAAAATATGAATGTCAAGGTCATTCATTTTTAAAAGTAAGACTTAATTTCAGCATGTTTTGTCTGTTGGATTTTTATTTTTCACATTTACTTGAATGCATTAGTAGTTAAACAGTAATTTACCCCTTCTGTATTTAGAAAAACATCTCAGTGGTTAAGTCTACATGTGCAGAACAGTTGGTCATCCCAGCCCCAAAAAACCTTGCTTGATTAAATTCCTAAAAGCTCAAGTTGAACACTCCCACTGATGCTCACATTTGAAAAAAACAGGCTCCTTGATTAAGCTGAAGAAGAAGACAGTTAGATGAGTAAGATAAGGGTGAGATAGTAATAAAGGATTAAAAAAGTATGTAATAAAACTGACCTTACATTCTCAGAGAGAGAAAAACTACCAGTCTATAACCCTCTCACTAGGCTCAGATGAGTGATGATAGTGGTAGTCAGGGTGTAATTTACTTCTATCTGCACTAACGTCAAATAATCTAAGATATAACAGCCCCTCTGGTTTTTCTTTCATGTGTACTGTAGTGTCACACACACACACACACACACCTCTCCATCTTCCCCTCTCATTTCCTTCGTCACAGAGGTTATGTTTTCACCACTCCTCTGTTGGTTGATTTGTTTACAAGGAAGACTACACAAAAACTATTGGATGGATTTTTATGAAACTTGGTGAAAGGATCCAGATTAAGGGATTTTTTTTTCACGTTCTGTAACATTGAGTGATGGGGCATTTTTCCATGATATATAAATCTTGATGGAAAAAAATCAGGCACTCAAAATCAGCACTGTTGGGCCTTGGCGGGGGTATGTGCATCATTCCAGTTCGCACTGTATACAAATGAAGGCTCTATCTGAAATTAATGTGCAGTTTCACAAATTTATAATGAGTTGAAGATACTGGAATGAGTTATTGATTGTAGGCCTGTACAAGTAACATGCACAAAAATGCTTGACTAAGGGGGTGAGGACCCCAATTAAGACAAAAAGCATCTCATCACGTGATCAGAGCTGAAAATCTTGTCCTTGTCCTCTTGTCCAAACTGTGTGTGTGTGTGTGTGTGTGTGTTGTGTCCCTTCCACACACCGACGAAGTGGTCAGTGCTGGGGCAGCAGTAATAAATCTCACTCTTCCTCAGTGCATGAGGTTTCACATTACTCGCCTCTCCACAGGCACACACGCTTCACGCCGGAGCATTAGGGCCATGACAGAAGCTGTGAAGCACTGGCCTGGAACTGCTGATCTGCAGCACGCTGAAAGGCTGAGCAGCCTCAGATGAATAGATGGTAATTAATACACATAGCACCCGGGAGACTGCAGTACAATCTCAGGGCAAATTACTCCATCAATAAAGTGGCCTGCAGATACAATGAGAGACAGGGAGGGAGCCATAGAGAAAAGGAGGGAGGGAGTGGGAGAAACCTGTTCACATTCGGGCCGTGAAAGTGTTAGCGGGGAAAGAGCCCATCACTGAAGTAAGTGGGAAAAAAGCATGAAAACAATAAATGTTGAACTGATTTTGAAAGGTGAAAATTGGAATAAAAGGCTATGAAGAATAAAAAAAGATTAGGTACAGGACACTAAAACAAAATATATCAATATCTTGACACCTCGGCGTCAAAGTTTCATTAAATCAGGCAACGTACTTTGAAGCAGGGAGATAAAGTTGTACTTAATATTCACTATCGAACTCAACAAATTAGATTTCCATTGTGTTTTAAGAAATTCAATATCTCCAACCAATTGCCCTTCTCTCATCTTTTCTTGTCAGCTCTCTCATTTTCCCTGGATCTCATCCCATAATGATAAACCACCCCCCTGCCAGAGTTATCCTCCAGCACGTCCCAGCATTCCCTGGGCCCCGCATCTCATCTTCCAGCTCCTTTCAGAGACAGATCTCTCTGGACATAACACCTCCTGCAATGGGAAAGTGAGGGACAGATTATCAAATTGCCGGGACATTATCTGCCTGAGGGCGTAGTCCGGATTACAGCATGAGCAGCTCTCCCTCGTGAACCTCTGGCAGGAGTCACGCTCGCCATCCTGCCCGTTACATGTTGTGGTCTCTGAGAGATCAAAAGAACTGAGCGAGCAGCCTGAAGAGATCCAGAGAAACACGCGAGTCCCACTGTGGCTCCGAGAAGAACATAAAGGCTTTGGTACAAGATTCAAAGTGAAAGCCGAGCAGCACCGAGGCATACGACTGAATCCTTGTGGATACAGTGTCATTCCACTTCAAATACAGGTTTTACACTGTCAGCACATCTGAGAAGGAAGATGTTGAACTCACAGGCAGATGTATGAGCTGCAAGGTGAGCTGGTCCTGAGGCTGTCTGGCAAACGAGGGTCGTTGGTGCAGATCCAGTGATTTACTCTCAGACTGGGCTGCTTGTTTAGTGCATTATAATCTTGATGGTGTTTTTTAAATTGAACAAAGTTAATGAAGCAGTAAAATGACACAATAAATCAACAGGAGAGTAAAACTGTTTAAAATCTGTTATATAGACACATTAAAGATATATATGGCTTCACTTTCTTCTGTACACAAGTCTCTACGGGGAGTTGTGGGCTGTGAGTACCGAAACGCTTGTCACTGTATGATTTAGCTTCATTACACTAACACGCAAAGCAATAAGATTTATGCTAAAACATTTGAACTAACATATTATGCTGAAATTCTGTGGTGTGAATAAACTCTAATACATATTCCTAATTTCAACAAATAACAGATACTCATGTCTGTCCTCTGTATGTGAATAATTTAAATTAGACGTTCTGACACAGCTCCATTGAGAGTTGAATTAATGAAGCTCAGCACTCCAGAAAGAGCTGAATGGAACAATTTGTAACCAAAATAAGATTTCTGGAACAAAATATGAGGTGGCCTCATCTCAATCTTTACAAGTATCTATTCATCCACTGAACACATTCAGTTCTGGCTCCTTTTCAAAGATCTTCCCACTGTTCATGATCAAACTTGTGTAACAAGCACAATGTCTATCCCTGCCAACTATATAAAAATACATTTTGCTGTTGAGTCACTGGTCCAGTCATAAATCCATCAATCCTGGACAGGTCAACAGAGTATCACGGGGCCAACATATACAACCAACCATTCACACTCAGCTTCAGACCATGTGACATGAATGAAAAAGTTGCGACCATGGAGAGGAGCCATGAAGTATGCGTCTACGTTTACACCTTCACCTTAGCACTTTGTCATAAATTCAGTTCACACAAAAAGTGATGTGACAACTGAGAATATTCTGCAAAAAAGCTTTTAAATATGCTGGCCTCTCTAATCTACATGAGGAGTCACTCTGACGGAATTCATGTCGATTTTATAGAGGCGAGAAAATAGGTCACTATAGTCAGTGTGGACGCTCTTAAAGTTTTTATTGAAATCCACTTTGAAGATTGTATGTTTGTTGTGTATATGGTGTGTGACAGCTGTAATTGTCTGTTCTGACTACTTTTAACCAGATAAATAACAGATATATTATGTAGCTTATGTATAAATACCTGTCTGATGGGTGAAAAAATAAGATTTTGAAGGAAACATTCAAATCCTGCATGCTTGTCTTACCTGTTTACACACAACCAGTTGTTTGGGCAAAACTGTCAGATTGTCAGCTTTTTTTTTTTTAAGCTCAGACCTTACGTCTGACGTCTATACTGCTCTGAAAGCATCATCTTAAAATCTTCCAAAGAGACATCAGCTCTTTCATAGAAAACCAAAGCAAAATAATTCACTCCAATAGTTCACATATAAGTCATTGAGGCCTTTGAGGACTAAATAGACTAAAGGTAGTGTTGTTTTAAGCTCAACCATATTCTTCAGTGAGGAAGGGCACAGAGAAGCTCCCACTGGGTGCTGAACAGTCCGGCGTCCCCATTATGAAAGGACAAAAGGGGACAAAAAGCCTAGTCCAGCTCACATCTCAGAGGAGCCTGAATTTGGAACACAGACACCCACGAGCAATATTTGCTCACTTTATTGTGTCCACAGAGGCCACGTGTTGCCCTTGAAACATTCTTAAAGACTTTGGCCCAAAAATGGCCGACTTTCCCTTTATTTAACCTCGACATCAGCTGAGAATAAGATGGAAGGAACTCCTGAGTCTTAACATTCATATGGTATAGTTAATACATTAGAATTGATGCGTCATAATCAAATACTTTCCAGTGGTACTTGAAACCGTTCACACAAATTATGAAATCTAAGTTGTGAGACTAACAAGCACCGGCAAATCAGCAGAGCGAGATTGTGCATTTGGTTTATTCAGTCTGGACACAAGCTCAGTTTAGGAGAATAAGACTGAAAGAACACATGACACCATCATAGTGTCAAGTGATATGTGTACTGAGTCAACCTACTGCACATCCACAGATACATTCAACATATTTTACACTTTGCATCTTGAACAAACAATAACTGGATATATGGATGAATAGACGGACATACATACGGACTGATAGATGGATGGTTAGAGGGATAGAGACATCCAATACTCATATGGAAATATATACTTGAATGATCATTTCTTTAAAGTTCACAGTGAGTCTGATCACACAAACAGTCCTTACTTTACATGTGCAATAATAGGATGAGTGGTTGTGCGAGGAAAGTTTTAGGAATGAACAGATGGACGGATTTAATTTGCTATTGGTTGTTTTTGATGTTCTGAGACACCATACTTAAGATGCAGTACATCATCTCGACCTTGTTCACAGGGAGACTCAGGAAAGGTACTCAGAACCACTTGCATACAGCACTGAGAAATTAAGACCCAAGTCAGAGGAAGCACATGATCCCAGCTGAAGTCTGAAACCTGGAGGACGAAGGGGGCGAAGACCGAGGTGCTGTGGAACTAGGATGACAAGGCGAGTGGACAAAGTAGGACCTTTTCAACACCAACAAACCTGCACACGTGGGAAATGAGGAGGGACCCACTGTATACATTATAGAGAGTGAGACCTACTGGATCAAGACCAAACTTAAACAGGGGGGATATATATGGTGTCACAACAAGGTCCCCAAAGCACAGGCTGAAAGGAGAGACAGAAAGAGCACCAGATCCATGTGAGACCAGCTTCATCTACACAGTTCATCAGGGAGAAGATGTCGCCTTCATCCAACCTCCTGGTAGTAGCACAGAGAGGGAGAAAGACAACTGGTTTGGGGTCAGGAGCAAAAAGAGGTATTTTTGTCAGTGGAACAAGAGGGAGGAATTAGAAGATGGGAAGTCATTGTCAGTCACTGTCGACCCACCACCTGGAGGACATTGTGGAACATCCAAGAACATCTCCCGGCTGAAAACTCATGGCTTCAGAATAAATATTGCATTTTGGTTGTACCATTCTAAATGTTTTATGTAAATCATTTATACTCCCCCTTTTGATTATTTTATCAAAGGGAAAATTATGCATTTTATAACAAGTGTAAGAATGTGCATGTCAGCAGCTCTGAGAGGATTTACAGCAGGGGAGACACACTTCCAGTGGCCACATGCAAACATGCTGATGTTGGGCAGGTGCAGTAAAATGTTAACCATATCAACCAGGTTGGTTTATTGCATTGGTGAGTGGATTTGCTAAATAGCACAACACAAAATACAACATTGCAATAACAGAGCCCAAGATAGCATTAGCACCTATGGTCATATGTGAGGTGCTATAACGAAACCAGACACAATTTCAGATGGAACAAGATAGTGGAAGATTTTGATGCAAAAAGCAGAAGGAGTTTCATTTGTGTTACGAGTTAGGCTGCATCAATTTTTGTGCAAAATGTCAAAGTTGCATTTTCACAGAGTTGTGTGCATCACTTGGACACAGTGTCTTTTGGCCCGCCTGCCCGCAGCAAAGGTTACAGAGCTTATGTCCCATTCAGAGCGATTACTGATGGGTACACTGTTGTGTGATTCAGGGGATTTGGGCAGAGTCACAGCAAAGGTATGAGTCATCAACATTGCACTCGTCTGTTTTACCAACACTTCCTTTCCTCTCCCCTCCCACATAATCTGGGCCTGCAACCGCCTCGCCCTGATATAACCCAGTCTTCTTTACTTTTTCTGTTTACAAAGCTTCTGGTTAGTGGTGAGTTTGACTCAAAGTCTGACAACAGACACACAGCATTGGGATAAACACTGGCCTCACTCAATGAACAATACAGGCTGAGGAAATTTGCATTTAAGTATTTATGTAAATACAATTAATTGATAAATTGGCCATGTGTTTCTGAACTGTCTGATAGAGGGTGCAGCTGATGGTCAGATCATAAAAAAGAAAATGTGTCAGCCCCTCTGTTGATCTGGATGATGACAAGTCTGACATGCCACAGACTTTCTTTATAAAGCTGTAAACTCCATTTACCTAGTACAGTAGCGCTCTCTGCTGGTGAACTACGGAACAGCTTTCCAGAAAGAAGAGGAACATTACAAAGCATCTACATTTTTTTATTCACTTAAAATTTGTGGAACTTTTTGTCCATTTGTTGTTTTTGTATGTAAATAATGCTTTAATTGAGAGGGGTATTAACCTGCAGTTGCTTTAAATCTGTGGCATTGATTCATTTTGATTTCTTTGATACAAAATACAATAAAATCATTTTCCGACATTTACCACAACTTGGTAAAACCTTGTATTCTCCCTGTGCCATCTCCTGGGAAGTGACAGCTGTACGGTGCACGGTAATGTCAGCCATGCCTCATTCAACACGCCTGACTCACTGTCACTCAGTGCTTTTTGTTTTTTCATTCTCCAGCACCTGTGCTTGGCCATCACACAGCTCCGAGAATGACTCTGCTGCCATCTCAGCAGAGGAACAACGGACTCTGTGACAAAGCTTTCCCGACGCTGCCCTGGAGACCACGCACGTGGAGGCAGGTAGGTTGTTATATATTAATCAGGGTCAGAGGTTAGGTTTCATCACTAGTGGAACTATAGCCAGATGTATACTACAGCAGAATCTGGTATTCCTCCTTTTTTTGTGTGTATTTATATGCGGTGTGCATCCATCCACCTCTATGTCTCTGCAGTGGCATTGCGCCATCTATTTATAGCTGCTAGGACATTTGCTCAGTGTCCATTTAGAAATGTCATGCAACACATAAGGGCCTTACAGCTTTCATCTGTAAATGTGAAGGTCAAGAAGCTGACCTTTAACATGAAGCACTGATAGGACGAAAGTAACTTTTTCCTCTGACAGCATCTTCTGCAAATGTCTGAAACTGCCAAATCCTTTTCAAACAAACTTAGTTTTGAGCTTCTTCCATTTTCCTCTCACCCTCTGTCAGGGAAGAGATGGAAGAAAGCTATGAGACATTTGAGGAGGAGTTAGGGCCATCAAGAGCAAATCCTCCTCCACACAAGCCTGTTCGACAGATCCGCAGACCAGGTGGCGACACACATCCTAACACACACTTAAACAGAATCTCTAATGCCTGCACATAAAAGCACTCATCTGTTGTATTGTCCAGCTCTATAAATACTTGGGAGCATCAGCTCAGGGAGGTGCTGAAATATGACTCCTGGTCAAAGTGCGCCCGGTGATAATGCACCTCGGCCGTGTTGGACGGACGGTTGGGGTGCAGAATGTTTCACTTGTCAGAGGGTTGTAGTGGAGAGGGCTCAGTTCATCTCAACAGAGTTGTGGTATAATGATAATAAGACTAGGACTGTTCAAAAATACTGTAAACTTTATGTGCTAAACATCAGTAAAGCCTGTAAGGTTAGCGTGTTTACATAGCTCAATGTTAAAGACCAAATACAGCCTCACAGAGCTGCTGGTGATCAGCTAAATACAAACCTTGTCTCAGTTGCATTTCTATTTTGTATAAATTTTGGGTTAATAAAATCATGAATTTCTGAATATGTTTAAATATATGTGGATAAATAGACATATTGGGAGCATGGTTGTTCAGGCTTTTGTTTGTTTTTGGTTTATGACACTGTCCCCCCCCCCCCCACCCTCAGTAAATCTCCATCTGCCTGTTTCAGAAATGTATGCTGCAAGGAAAACCAGAGAGGTTGGTTGGAAAAGAACCAACATGAATATTTTTTTTACAGTCTTTACACCCTTGATATCTCTTTTATTCTAAGCTACATGCTGCTCTCCAACAGGAAACAGCTCCAGTTTCACACCAACCAAGAGCAGAACCCAAGATATCACTCAAAGAACCCAGCATCCCTAGAACACGTGAGCCATTTCCTGTATTTTCTGTAACACTTTGAGAGAAAAAATAAAGTACACAATTTTTCCTTTCTTTTCAAATATTCTGACTCTATCCTTCTCTTTCTTGTCTTCCCTCAGCATCCTTGCCTAAACCCTTGTCCATAGAAAACCTAGCCCAGACAGAAACACCGTGGGAGAACGTCACCCTGAACCGATGTCTGTTTGTGGCCATCACCATCCTCGTACTCACCTCAGGCTTTCAGAGGCTTCATGGTAAGTAAACTGGAAAGAAAGAAAATATGACGTACAAAAACGGCATACCTGCTGTAAATAAGTTGTTTCTTTCAAAATAATACAGAAACTTTGCGTGGTCAGGGGACTTTGCATAGTCATGAGGAAGAAGTTGGAATGAAGGTGAGATGGTCAGAAACATTACGTCACAGAGGACAACCATCAGAGGTAATATTTATTACTTTGTTATTCATTCTTAGTTTTACTTCTGCACCCACTTCATGTGTTCTCCCCCCTCTAGCCTCAGGCATCTCTGTGGGAATTAATGTTCTGGTGGCTGCCAGACCTTGATGACGATGAAGATGAGGAGGAAGACGATGACGAAGTGGAAGTGAAAAGAGGGAGGGCAAAGAGAGGAGCGATGGCACGGACATCAAGAGGTCTCAGAAACAGGCCATTACCGGACAAAAAGCTCACGAAGCAAAGAGATGGGAAATTAAAGGACAGGAGGGCCAGGAAAGCCAGGGATGAAGAAACCAAAGACAAGAAAGAAAGCGATAAGCAGGAACCCGAAGAAGCAGTAAGGGGAGAAGATGAAGATCAAGGCGATGATGAGATAGTACCTGAGAAGAATAAAAGGTTGGAGGAAAAGAGAGAGAAGAAAAAGTCTCAGAAAGGATGAGTTGATTAATTCTTCTGTCAGACTTGGACAGAAAATTAATTTTCGAGTTCATCTACAGTAATAAAACATTTACTAAAGGTGACACCAACATCCATGCAAGATTTTCTAATTTGAACCTTTAGAATTCAATCTTTAAAGCTAAAAGTAATCTGTGCTTCCAGGACACAGACACTTTGTGCTCCAGCTTTTCGTTGCTGTGCTTGATCGATGATTCTGTTTGATGGAACTTTGATTCACCAGCGAAGTCATTCACATTTTCCTGGAATTAAAAATGACTGTTTCACTTGAAATATTCATGTTATTACCCAGTTTCTCTCTTTGTAGTGTTAAAATAAATAAAACTTATTTAGTCACCTGCTCTGAGATAATACGATCACTACTGTAGCTTACTCTTTTCTTTGGTGTTTCTTATGCTCTGACCCACTCACCCAATCGGTGATACATCAATAAATTTGTGTGTGATGTCTTTGGTAAAGCAAGACATGAAAACGGAAATGTTTTTTCTCCTCAGCATTTAATTACAAAAACAGACTCTTAAAAGACCTGAATCCGAGCATTTATACAAAACAGTACAGCGTTGTTATTACAATGTTGCAGACTGCCCCACCCATTTACATAGACCAAACAAATGTATAAAAATCGACTTATTGTGGACTTTAAACATCAACTGAAAGATAATAAAAATTGAATGTACCTGCAGTGCCTAAAGTGAGATGGACACTGTAGACAGGCAGGGCAGTGTGACTCCAGACCATGAAAGAAAGCAATCATGATCCACTGGTAGATGATCAATTATTAGATAATGAAAGTCCATCGGGAGGTGGCGGCCTCATTGGCATGGGGGGCATGGGCATCTGGGGGGCACCTGGAGCACCAGGTGGGAGTGGGGGGATAGACATCCCTCCTGGTGGGGGAGGGGGCATTGAATCATTTAGTGAGCGTGGTCCAACTCCAGTCATGAGAGGAAGGGGGCGCTTCACACCTGCAGGAGGAACTGGACCAGTGGACTGGGGAATAGCTTTCTCCATTTTGAAGTGAAACTGCAGGAAGAACTGGAAAAAAAACAAAAAACATATGAATTAAATCACATCCTATTTAAAAAAAGTATTAATACATAGGTTATCTTTGTGGTTATAAATCAGCTGATCAGTACCTGCTTAGTTTCTCTGTTCCAGTGGGTCCAGAAGCGGTTTTCTGCTTTATCAATTTCTCTACTGGGGACCTGATGGACCAAAAATATTGATGTCACAGCAGGAAGAAGAAAACGTTATAAAAGCAGAGAAAGAGAAGAGCTTCTTCCTCTCACCTTGAAGGCAATAGTCTCATATGGCTCAGCAGCGAGCAGCAGGTATTGCCAGCGACGATCAGGGGGCTCAATGCGCTGCTCATAGGCAGACATGAAACGATGCCTCGGCCCAATTCCTTCAGCGATCTCTGGGTAGTCGATCTGATGGACAGAGAAAAGGAAAAACTGCTTGTTTACAGGTTTGTCCTGTCGTATCTCTCATGGATAGAACATGTTACTCAGTCATCACTGCATCAGTACATATGAAGTGCTGCTTTAGCTGCTTTTTTTTAAACAACTTTAGTGTCGAGATAGTGTGTGGGATCAATAATCCAAACCAATCAACAGAAAAAGCTGTGAATCACAAGCTTGCTGATTCATATATAAAGACATAACAATAGACAAAAGAGTATGAGCTTTAGTATGCAGCACTTAATTACAGAGCAGTATGATAATGAAAATACACAAGACTCAGTCTTGTGTGTGAACGGAGAAGCTAGGAACATTGTGTTTAAGTTGAGATCTGAGTCTTTACAAAGGAGCAATTTTAAAGAGAAACTTAAATATACATTTTCTCTGTTTAATAATATTCTCAAAAACATTTAAAATCATGATAATTTCATGAAGATTCCCAAAGAACACAAACCTGGAAAAGTAAAGACTGCTGTCCAGTTTCTGGGTCTCTCTGTTTGGTGACTAAAGACAACAGAAATACAGACCATGTGTTAAAATACAATGTATATGCAGTGATATTACTATCCACATAAACAACATAATGTCTGTGCTGATATATATCCCACAGCCAGCTTACCTTTGTATCCTGGTCGACCGATTTTGACAAATTTCTTGACTTCAACTTTGGCTTTAGCTGGAGCCGGCTGAGCAGGAGCTTCTTTTGCCTCTTTGGCTGCTCGTCGTGCTCTGAATCAAACAATGAGTTTTCGTTGCTGTTATTTAATACACTGGAAACATTAACTTTGGTTTCTCTGTCGTGGGTAAGTGGAGTATTGAAGTAAACACAACATAAGCAACTGAACCAAACCTAAGAGTCAAAACATTTTTCATTTGTTAGGGTAAAAACCAGATGTGGACTCACAAGTTGGTCTGATGTTTCTTTCCTTGTGTGTGTGCCAAGTAACTGCCCTGTAATGAAGAGAGTAATTTGTCATTTTTTCAACATTCAAAAATCTAAAAATATTGTGATGTTCAGGTAATTGAGGGAATTTCCATTGTGTGTCTCCTCACCTCGTTGTTATGAAGTGTCAGACAAAGCTTGCACTCATATGAACCCAAGTGATTCTTCATAAAATAGGGATCTTTGTTGATGTCAATTGTCTCCAGCGCCAGCTGACGTAACCTCTCACGTCTGTCTCGGTTACTCTCGGAGGAAGACGCCACTCCTCCACTCCCCGTCTTCCCTCCAGCTCGGTGCTGGAAATCCATCTTTGCAAAATGATGGACTCAAACACGCTGACACGCGCACAGATGAGCGTCCAGTCCAACCTGGACAGGTCGTTCAAGCAGATTCTTCCTGATTCACTGGGGAAAAAAACGTATAACACTCATTCCTGCCCAGGATGGACTATAATATATTACCAAACTTTTATGACACTGTTTTAACTGCAATGATAAGTTACTTTATTGCTCATGTAACAAACTATAATTTCAATATATATATATATATATTATGTACATTTACACGGTTGGTGAGTAGATGAAATAATCATTACTTTATCATTAATATGCTAAATTGGCCCAAACAGTTCTTTATGCTAGCTTAGCTTCATGGTATCGGTCTAACTACTGGAAAGTAAAACAAACGACAACGGCAAAGTAATTCAAACAAATGTTTCTGAGTTACATGAAATGATTCGGTTTGTTAACGCAACGACACAAACGCTTTCTGTAAAGTCAATCTCTTCAAAATCAATTTAGCTGCAGTATGCTAGCTGACGTTTTGCGAGAATGCTAACGCTAAGCTAGCGGTGTTATAGCTCGCAATGAATGGTTTTTAACAAATCCGAAAGATAAAACTAAGAATAAAACGTAGTATGTGATAATAAGTTAGTAAATTATTGGACACAATTAGAAGTACACACGAGGAAAACGAATAAACATCTTTCTTTGTCCAAAACACTCACCGAGTCCGCAACGTTCGGATCACGCTTAAGTAAACTCGTACTGCGCATGCCCAAGTGGCTCTCTCTTCATCCGCTTTTTTTGGGCAGCTTCAGGCTTGTTACCGCCCCCTGCTGGACTGGAGCAGAGGCTTGACTGGAGTGAAATAATCTTTGTCTGGTTTTAAGTGGAAGAAAATGTGGAATTTAGCATCTACATTTTAGAGTAGGTGATTCATCACATGCCCCGTTTCCTTTTTTATGATATCAATGTAAGTAGTTATTTTTGTGAATTGTGCCCTGAAGATTGAAATGGTTTATTCGGGATCTGTGACCATTCTTACAAGAAGTCTTTTCACTTATTTCTTTAATTCTTGACTAAAGTCGATGAGCTGTTATTGTTGGAAAAAAACTTCCTAACAGAGTTCATCTTTCTTTGAAAACAAAAACCAACTGCAAGCAAAGACCATCGTGCTGCTGCGGTCAGACATGCAAAGAGAACAAACTGACCCCATGTGGTCATTTTGTCTCTGTGTGGTTGTTTTGTGTTTCAGTGTGATTGACATGTGGTCATATTGTGAATTTTTGTGATCATTTAATGCATCTTTGTGGTCATTTTATCTCTCTTTGTGATGGTTTTGTGTATCTTTGTAGTTGCTATTGTTACTTGTGGTCGTTTTTTATATCTCTGTCGTTGTTTTTAGGTCATTCTACGGATATATTGTGGTCATTTTGTACATCTGTATAGCTATAATGAGTCTCTTGGGGTTCTTTTGTGCCTCTTGTGGTCATGTAGTTGTCATTGAATGTGTCTTTGTGGGCCATTTTGTGCCTTTGTGGTCATGTAGAGGACATTTTATTTTATTGTGGTCATGTAGAGGACATTTTATTTTATTGTGGTCATGTAGAGGACATTTTATTTTATTGTGGTCATGTAGAGGACATTTTATTTTGTTGTGGTCATGTAGTAAATGTTGCATTGGCTGTGTGTCTATTTGTGGTCATTTGTTTTCTCTTGTGGTCACTTGTGTCTGTCCAGTTGTACAACGTGCTGCACTCTGGCTGAGGATCACTCCAGGGTTTACAGTCACGCGGTTTTCCTAGTTTGGCCCTCACCGGCCGCCATGCTGTTTCTAGTCAGGCGTGTCAGTGGACGCGGAGCAGTGTGTGTGTCCGGTGTGTACAGTGTGTGTGTGTGCAGTGTGTGTGTGCACAGTGTGTAACATGAAGGACAGGTCCGACACCTCTGTTCTCTATCAGAAATGACCAAACTCACTCCGTCGCTATTGGGCGGCAGCAGATAAGGAACCACACGGTATTCAAACAACACGCCTGTAGCTCCGTGTCGCTGTTAGCTGCCGTGTTGTTATGTTGCGTGTCGCCTGTAGCTTCTGTGTGTGTCTGTGACTGTAACTACAGACCGTGTGTGTCCTCGTCAGTGATGCGGTTTAACGAGAAGGAGCTGGTGTTTCTGAGCCGGCAGCCGTCAGAGATGGCAGCTGAGCTGGGGATGAGAGGACCCAAGAAAGGAGACGGTAACTGTTTATTTGACCACACACACACACACGCAGATCTTATCTTCTGTCTAACGCCATGCGAGCAGCAGCTGATCTGCAGCTTTACACTGGAGTTGTCTTTAGGTCAATCTGCTGATTGTCGTGAAGTTTCACCTCAGCTCTCTTTGTTTTAAATTCAGTTGTAAAGAGGAGGCTCGTGAAGCTCGTAGTTAACTTCCTCTTTTACTTCCGGACTGATGAGGAGGAGGTGAGCCGGAGAAACATTCACACACTTGATCAGTTCCAATAATCAATAATGATCATGTTGTTAAGGTCATTGTTTTATTCATTTGTCAGCCGATCGGAGCTCTGCTGCTGGAGCAGTGCAAGGTGGAGAGAGAGAACAGTCAGAGCTTCTCCATAGGTGAGCTTCATCCTTTCGTTTTAATTTCACATCAGGTGACACACACACACACACACACACACACACACACACACTGACTGTTTACATGACTGAGCCCATTGTTTGTGCGGACACTATTCAAATCACATTGTTAAATTTATCACAGAGCAGCAACAGAGAAATGAATCCAGTATTTTGGACTTATTATTATATTATTAAATTTTCTTATTTGTACATCCATGGATCACCTTTAAACTCTTTTTTTCTGATTCCAGCTTTCCTGGATGAAGCAGAGAGGAAGTATCTGTTCGAGTGTGACTCAGAGGAACAGTGTGGGGAGTGGATCGACTGCATCGTCAAAGCCAGGTAGTCCTGACTCCTTCATTCTTCCACCTTGAAACCACAAACAAAGATTTCAACCAAAGAAAGGACCATATTTTTTCTGTGAACATAAAGACACCCATACAAGGAAATATGTCTTTGTTGTTCCATCTTTTTAACTATAGCCATAGAAATGAACTTTCTAGCATTATTATTGTTGCATATGTGCAGTGATCAATACTCATTTGGTGTTGTTGTGCTGCAAGATGTTCATTCAATACTAGTACAAAAATTAAATGAATGATGCAGTGGTCTCCAAAGACAAAATATATGATTTAATTCATAGAGATGAACTGTACTGATCACAAATACTTGCATGGTTAAGGCGGCAGGCCAAATTGCAGGTATAATCTTTTCTGTATTCACAAACTTTTTTCTTGTCAGATGTCAAAATAACTATTCTCATCTCCTGCAGTTACGAGTTCATGAGGAAGAATCTGATATTTTATCGAACTGAAATCCATAGGCTCACTGGCAAGGTAAGACCCTTCACAGCACTAAATACCACACAGATGGAGCGTCTCTCTGCCCACACTCCAAATTACACTGGCAGTGTTTGTGTCAAGCTTAGTTTAGATTTTTTTGGGTAAAGTTTTGCTGCTGAGACTTGGGACACTAAAGTACAGTAATGTAGTAATAACAGAGTTATATTGAAATGCACTCAAAATTTTAAATTGTCACACGCAAAGCATCTCAAAACATAAATAAATCCAACCTGAACTTTGGTGCAACACTAGACACCATTCTGGGAAAATTGTAAACTTGAGTATGTTCTTTTTTCTTAAATGTCCTTTTGTTGTGTGTTATTTACATGAACTAACAACCTCATCCAAGATTTAATTCTATGTAACAACAGAGCATTTGTTCTGTTGCACACTAAACTGTTTTCTTACAGTCTTTGCTCATGGTCTCTTGTCTCTGCAGGACCCTCTGGAGCAGTATGGTATATCAGATGAGACACGCTTCCAGATCAGCAACGGGCTGCAACTTACGCCTGGTGACACCTCCTCCCTTTAGACCAGCGTTCCGCCATTCCAAAACTCAGTCCTCACTCGTGTTGAAGCCATGACATTACCACACACACTCAAGACTTTTATAATTTCACTGCTTTGAATACATTTAGTGTTGCTCGATACTTGTAGCAGGGTGTCTGATAATCAACTACTTCTCTTCTGTTATTGCTGGTCATTACAGGTAACACATGGCTTGGGTAAAATCTACACTGTCTTATTTTCAGTTTAAGGGAATGTTATTGCCATCTCATCTTCAGACCTCTGACTTGGTTAATCAGTGGTCTGTATAAAATGTCTTTTTATACTGTGTCTACTACTGGACAAGCTGAACATTCATGTTATCTGATCTATTCTGATCATACTTGTCTTGTAGAGATGGAGCTGTGACTTTCTTTCAGGACTATTTGTGATGTTAGCATGACTGAGAATCAGTTCAGGATGTTAATGCACACAGTTAAAGAAGTGCATGGCCAATTCAGAAAAAAAACCTGAGGCAGTCTTCACTGTCTTAATTTGAACTGCATGAGCCAGTAGATCTGCTCAGTTGAGCCACACATTTTACTCCATTATACTTGCGAGAAGGAAAAATCCCAGTATGTATTTATGAGCCAGCCCATATTGAATATTTAGTTTTAAAAACTATAATTTTGCACATATTACTTAACTTGGTTTTAAGGGTTTTTTATGATTAGAATTGTAATAATGTACTTGAACCTACTGTACCTTTTCTGTGGCACTTTGATTCCTTTATGTAAGCTGTCGGACCAGGCTGGGAAACAAGGCTCGACATGATTTAAAAAATATATTATGTCTTTTTCAGTGTAATCATGAGCTCTAAATTTGCTCTCAACCACATTTCACTGCAGGCAATTGCTATATCCTGCAAATAGGTGAAATATTAATTTCACCTGTCAAGAGTCTTAACCACAAACAGGATATGTCATTGAATGTGTCTCCAGTCAACTTTTTGCACAGGGAATGTCTTCATTCTGTTTTTACTTCATGTCAGACTGTATTTGTTTCTTCCTTTTTGGTTTTTTTTTAACAATAATAAAGCCATTTGAAAGCTACTGCAATGTGTCAATCAAGATGAAAACACTGATTATTTTTAAAATGCTTAAAAATTGTTTGGTACACAAACACACAAACTAGATAGTGTCTCCCACACTGCAGGCCTTCAACTTTCACGAATTCATTGCACAAAATTTTAGCCCTGCAGTGTATGAGCCATTTGTTTGTCTTCGTATGGCTGTTTTCAGACATTCCAGAAATTGTATGGAGCAACTGACCCCTCCAAGAAAGTGTCAGAACGTAAATGAATGACTGTGCCTCGATTAGGTTCCACTCACACCATGCACTGTATTTTAAAGGTCTCAAACTTTGCCAAATGCACTCCAAGTTTTGGAGTGTGATAAAACCTCCCTTTGGATGAGTGCAACTGTATGTTTGTGTGTCTTTCGTTTTTACTCTTTTTGTGTACCAATGTAATCGGCTGATGTTGGGGCCCCATCTCTTAGCATGGGTCCCTAAGTATTTCCCTTGACAACCTTTCACCAGTTATATTGAGCTACTGTCAGCGGTGGATTCAAAATGTCCTCAGTGTTCATCACATAGAGTTTCACAGCATCGGTGATATGAAGAAATGTGCAGCTGTGAATCGCTGGAGAGAAGAAAAGAGAGAGAGAGAGAGCGACACGGGTGCTAAAGTGGAATAAATACAAACAGCTGTTACATTTCCAGATGTTTTTCTGTGTGACAGGATCCAGCTTGTGTTGTTTGATACACACACTCATGCACGCGCTCGCTTCCACTGCAGTAAACGCCATGAATTCAGAGGCAGCAGCAGGAGGTAAACAGTGCCCTGATCGTCCTAATAAAGACTTCCTGTGTGCGAGCGTGCGTGTGTATGAGAGAGAGAGAGAGCGTGCGTGTGTATGAGAGAGTGAGAGCATACAGTCTATGAGGGAAAGAGACCGCGTGTGAGCGTGCGTGTGTACGTTTGAGAGAGAGAGAGATATCGCGCGTGCATGAGTATGAGAAAGAGCACGCGTGAGCGTGCGTGTGAATGTAAGAGGGAGAAATAGCGCGTGTGTGAGTGTGCGTGTGTATGAGAGAGACACACGTTTCCTTAGCAACGGCCAAATGTGTGATTCAAAAGTAGTGACGTCACGCCTTTCCCGTGGTGCATAGCGAGCTCAGATTGAACCTTCGGCTGAAGGGACGTTTACATTTCATATGCTCTGTTTTTTAAATAGTAAAAAAGCGTCCGACGAAAAACTTTCCACTGGAACTGACGCAGCGAGGACGAATCGTTCCACGGTACGTAACGGAAAGAGCTAAACGAGACGCGGAAAGTGTGAAAACAAGTGTAGATGGTGGACAAACAATGTTGCTAATGGGTTAGCAGGACGGCTAGCGTATTTTACATTAGGATAGTCAGCTGAGCTAGCGTTAGCATTAGCATAGCCCCGTATGCTGGATTATTAAATGATATGTTCTTTGTTTGCAGCAGTGAATTGTAATAGACAGAGTTGGTGTCTAATTTATCACCACGGAGAAATCAGGGTGTTGGATTTCTCCCAGGTTTGTTTCCACCAGTGTTTCCTGAAGGTGACTGTGAAGTTTGTTTTGTCATAAACGTCCAGTTTAATGTGATGATGGTCACTAATAACTATTTACCTTTTAAAACACAGCTGTCTGTTTAGCGTGGTGCTTCCTCTCCTGGAACAGAGTTACTCAGCTTGCCTCTCAGCCTTCAGCTTGTGGTTAAATAAATAAACATTTATTTTTGACATGTCACAAACACACAGGTTAGTGTTGCTGAAACTATTGGTGGTTTAATGAATGGGCGTGTCTGCACAAAACTAACAACATCAACTAGAAATCAAATGTGTTTTAGTAGCTCATCAATCAAATGTCAAACCTCTGCAGATTCCAGCTTCCTAAATGTGAACACTCTGCCTTTCTCTGTCATCGGTTACTGTGCTCATTGTTATTTATGAACTTTCCTATTAGTAAAATATTGTAGTATGTTAATTGCAGAAATTTACGCTTTCCTACACGATTGGTAGACTCCTGATGCATCAGTGCTAAATTGTGGTTGGGTGTAATAGCTAAAAATGATATTAAGACAAACATTTCACAAGTGAAGGTTGTGGTTTTAAACTCTTCTGTCCATAAAGAAGAGTTAAGGGGGTAGATCAATTATGTTTATCTATTATTATCATATTGCTATTGATGAAAATTATATTGCGATGATTATTGGTATTTATTACTCAGCCCCATGCTAAGTCAGACAAAATAAACAGAAGTCAGCAAGTCTTGATAAAGAGAGTATCTCTCTGTTAGTGGTCTGCCATCTGACATGTTCAATTAAAAACTGTAATTAGTTTTATGATAATGTTGATCGTTTTTGTCATGTTTTCCAGGTATCATGGATCAGGACTATGAGTGCAGGCTGCTCAGGCAGATCAACATCCAAAATGAGAATGCAAGCCCCGTAGTAAGTAAAGAATACGATCACTTGCATTTTTGGCGATTATGACCTTGTCAGTGTGCAATAGAAATCTGTATTTCTTTTGAACTAATGTGTCTTTAAAGAAAAAGGTGTACAGTCTTGACTAGTATAACCACTCTCAGTCATAATCGTTACTATAGTATAGTGATTGCCCCTCCCAAAGTGGATTAAGTAGTAAAGTATTTAAGATGGGCAGAGAGGGTGTTACTCTCTCTGTTGGCAGCATAAATGCTTTCCAGGCCGGTCTCTTTCATTTGACGGTGTCACTAGTGTTGAGGGAAAACAAGACCTTACCAGCCAAATGACTGGGTTTTGTGAATGTTGCCTCCTGTTGTTAACGCCTTCAACAAATGCACCATCTGCCACCTGAATGATTGTCCTGTTTTGTCATCAAGTTTTCAAACCACCGTCTGAGGCTTGTTTGTCCTCTCGTCAGAAAATGCTCTCTTCTCTCCTCCCCTGTGAAGAAAGCTGTAGGAGCTGCGCGAGCTCTGACACCCACCAGCTCCCCTCTGTCCTCCCCTAGCAAGCATGGTGATCGCTTCATTCCCTCCCGGGCCGGAGCCAACTGGAGTGTCAACTTCCACCGCATCAATGTGAGTCTGCTGTGAAACAGCCAGGCCTTGACTGTCTTTTCCCACCAAAAGAACAATGGTCTAAGGATGAACATACATTTTAGCAGTTTCTGCCAACTTGTCTGTAGTTGCTTGCACAGATTAAATAAAAATTTTGATTGAGAATGGTTATTCTTTTGGGGGGTTTTTGCAGGAAATTGAAAAGTCGCATAATCAAAATAGGAAAACCAAAGATGGCACAACAGACAGCAACAAAGGTAATCAATCCACTTTTCTACCAAATGAAAATGTATCTTGACATACTGTGTTGCTATAATGTTATTAGCGCACTGGCACCAATATCATGAAATATTCTGCTCTGCTATTAAGAGACAGGTGCATCCTTCTTTAACTGCAGACATTTTAAAATTAAACTCTTCTTTGAGGCAATTCATTTTTTGTCTTTAATGGCTGTTTGCATTTTTAACAGATGGCACCAGTTTGTTTTATCTAAAAGGCTGAAATTGAAAGCTCTTGATGTTTAATTGTTTTACTTTAATTGTAGCCCTTCAGTATGTTGTGTATTTAGAAATCATCTGTATTATGACTCCTGAGATAACATAAACCCCTGCTACTCCAAAATTAGAGGGTGTACTGTTTTAAACACAGCTAAACCCACTAAAAAAGGCAATTAACTCCTTTTCCATTGTCAGCAGAGGAGTTTGCCTTTCACCTTTTTCCGCTAGTGCATCATGTTCAACATCTTGAATGTGCCGTTAGCAGAGGCCCTCTCTGGCAAAGTAGCATGTTCACTCAGCTATCATGTTTCCATCACTGCCGATCGGAGCCGATTAAAACCTGTATCTACTGCACAGTCATTTGACCCAGGTGTCAATGCCGATTGTATCCATTCCCATTGCAGACAAAAGCCAGATTGGTGGGTGCTACTGGGTCTCCTAACGAGTGGATAAGGGCCTCTACAGAAATAATGATAAAATATAT